ATCCCCGACTGGGGCAACGAGGTGGCGCCCCCCCCCCCGCGTCGTCAGTGCGAAGCGGCACCAGCCCACCCAACAACCGCAGGGCCAGCTTTCACCCCCCTGACGATGCCCACCCGCGGCTTGCGAGCGCCGCCGCCGACGCCCCCCCCCCCGCCAAGCGGCCGACTCGGATGGCCCCCCTCCCGCCGCGGAGGGCCACGATGCATCCGGCCGCGGGGGCGAGGGCTCGGAAGCATCTGCGGGCGGCTCCCCCGACGGCAAACCTTCTTCGCGCCGGGGGCGCCAAGGGGCACCCGCCGCCCTGTCTCCGACCCTGAGCTCGGGCCCCCCCTGTCGTGCTCATTCACTCCTCCGGCACCTCCGAGGCCGCTGGCAAGTCCTGCAGCCCCACCTCCGCCGTCGACGGCCCATGCCCCCCCCCGTGCTCGCCGGGCAAGACGACAGGAATCTCGCGCGCCTCCCAGAGCGAGGAGCGCTGCTCCCCCGTAGCATGCCCCGGTAACCCCGGGTTGCCAACGCGACGCAGGGTGAGTTTGGCTGGGCCGGAGGACGGCGCGAGCGCCGCCCGCGTCGGCACCGCGAGACCAGTCGCAGCAGCCCCTGCGGTGGCCATTGGACAGAACGGGCGGCCCAGCTGGGTGGCCGACAACCGCTGGGGCCGGCCCGCGCGTGCGCGCGCGCGCCCCATTCCCGACGACCCCCCCGCTCCCCGGTTAGGCCCCTGGCCATCCTTCAGGAGTGCGCAAGCCGACTGCTCGCAAGACCTATGCGACTCAGTGAGAGGACTCTACATCTACAACGCCCCTCTGAGGCGAGTCGACATCCTGAACCCCATTGGCGAGGCTCCTGCCGAGACCGCGACGCGACTGCAGAGAGACCCGGGGGATTATTTCAACGGAGCACGGCATCAATGGGCGACCAAGACCCCCCCCCCCCCCGTCGGGCCGCATCTGCGCTGACCCTGCGCGCCAGCGCCCCGATTCCTTCACGCGCTTTCTTAAGTAATGGCTCAGTCACAAGTGCGATGTCTTCAAGATGGACGCCGCGATCCTGGGGGCCAACTGGCGCGCAGTCCGCGCTCGGGTCAACGACGGAGCTAGCGCCGCGGGCACCCCCGACAAGGCCAATGGCAAGGGGCCGCGCGAAGACAGTGACACCCGTTGGACAGGGGCGGTGGGGCCCAAAAGGGCAGTGGGCTCGCGCCAGCCGTGGGCGCACTCCGAAGTCCCGCCCGGGCCGCGCAGACGGGCGCACGCAGCGGCACTCGTGGGCGCCCCGCGCTGTGCATCAGTGCGCCTCTCGGAGCCCCGCCCCCCCTGGCCAAAGGGGGCTGGTCGACTCCTCCTGCGCACCTCCCCGCGTGCGCTAATGCCACCATGGACGTGCGCAGCTGGGGCTGCCGGCCCGTCCTAGGCCTTAGGGCCCCCTCCAGGGCGCCGCTTTGCGGCCTCTCTCCCCTCGGATGATTGCCGCCCCCCCGGCGCGCTGTAGGCGGCTCGGGGATTGGGCCCCCTTCCGCGTGGGCCCCGGCACTGCTGGGGCCCATGCGGCGCCCGTTGCAGCCGCGCGCTGCCCCGCGCACTGGTGCCTGGCCCTCGCTGGCCATCCAGCCTGACTGCCCGCCCCCTTCAGATTCCCGCCCGGCGGCCTCTCGCTCTGTTCGCGCTGACCGCGGCCGTTGGCCGCCCCCCCTCGCCCCTCGCGCCTGGCTCGCCGCCGTTCCTCCTGCAGGCGCCCCCTCTCGGGAGGCTCGTTCCACCGCGTCTCTACTTGCTCTGCGGATGTTAGCTGCAGACGCCGCTCACACTCTGCCCGCGCCCTCGGCGCCCCCCCCCGGGTGCTAGGGCCTGCGCGCCATGATCTCATCGGGCAGGCCCGCCCGCCCCCCCTCTGCGGCCCCCCTGCAGGCGGTGCTCAGGTCCGCGCGTCTTCTCTCTAACTCCGCGGCTGTCAGCCGCGACCCCCCCCGTCAGTTGGGCTGCCCTCGCCGCGCCCACCAGGGGCGCATACTCGCGCGCGACTGACTCGGTGCACGCGCCGGCGCCCCCTCGGGGGCGTCGAGGCACGTCGGCGATAGTCGCCCCAGTTCGACTGTCTCGACCGCATCCCGCGGCTATCTCCCTGCAGGGGGCGCGCGGCCCGCCGCGGCCCTACTTCCGCGGCTGTTAGCTGCGACCCTTCTCGCAGTATTACGCATGTCCCCGCGGCCATTAGCTGAGACCCCACTCGCGGTATGACAACCATTTCTCTGCGGCTGTTGGCCGCGACCCTATCTACAGCACGCCCCTGGCCCTCAGCGCCCCCCCCGGGGCGCGCGGGCCAGAGGGTTCATCGTTTTGCGTCGGCCGTCCGCCATCACGCGGCGCCCCCCCCAAAGGGCTGGTTGGGCTTGGTAGCTGATGGTATTATGTGGTCGGTTTCGCGGCAGGAGCTCACGCGCCTCCCACTGGCCGAGGCCCCTCTGACGACTCGTTCTGCCGAATTGGGATACTTGGGATGCATGGGGCCGGTTTGCACTTCGAGGTCCGCGCGCGCTTGCGCGGTGAGCTTACGCTGTGTGGTTCGCTGCATATTGGTTGACGACGGCTTCGCGGTCTTCGCATTGGCTTGTGCTTTGACGGAGACGTGGCGCGGCCCCTCGAAGACGCCGAGTTCACTGGTGCACTCGGGCTCGTGATCTTCGGCTTCTGAGCTGAGCTGCGGTTAGTCGCCTGGCCATTTTCGCTGCCCGCTCGCCGCTCGCGCACGGTTTCGGCCCTGCCATTTTCCGCGCTCGCCTGCTGCAGCGTTGGCATCTGCATTGCCCCACGTAGGCTTGGTTTTCGTGCGACTCCACGGCGCCGCGCGGCTGTCCGCTTGCGGTTGCGAGCAACAAGTGCACCCGCCAGCCGCCAGCCCATCCAGAAACCCTGCCCATGGGAGCTGACGGGAAAAGGGGCGAAGAAACACAACTAGGGAAACAGAGCGAGCGACCAGGGTGAACCGAGAGACCTCTGGGAGCAAGGGCGCGGTCTTGGGAGGCCTCTTCGGGCCATCCCTGGGGGCCGCGTGGGGGCGAGGGGAAGAGGGGGAGGAGCAGGAGGAGGTTGTGGACGAGGAGGAATAGGAGGACGAAGACGCGGATGAGGACGAGGATGAGGAGGACAAGGACTAGGCTGCTACTGCTGCTGGTGCTATCTGGGAGTTGTTGGGGCCCTCTTGGGACCCCTTTGATAACCTTGGAAGGCTTCTTGGGATCATTTTGGAGGCCATCGATTACAGAATGGGGGGGTCCCCAACTCAGCCCCCTCCCCCCCCCCCAGGAGCCGGCAACCCGTGTCTTTGGGTTTTCTTGGAGCGCTCTTGGAGCGGTTTTGGGGCCGTTTGGAGCATCTTGGGATCCATCTTGAGCCAGCTTGGGTGGTTATTCGGGCAATTTGGGAGGCCATCTCGGGGCTCATTTGGGGCTCTCTTGGCGTTCTCTTGGGGCCCTCTTGGGAGCTATGGAACGTCTCTTGGGGCCGTCTTGGGAACCATCGATCAAAGGAGGGGGGGTCCTCGATTTCCCCCCCTGCGGGGCCATCGGTTACGCCTCTCGGGGCCCTCTTGGGACGCTCTTGGGGCGATCTTGGGCGTTTTTGGGGCCGTCTTTGGGGTCTCGTGGACTCCTCTCGGGACTTTATTGGGCCATCTTGGGGCCATGTTGAGGCCTCAAAAGCGCATCGGAAGCGACAAGGCGAATAAAGGCACAGCTGACTGATTTCCTTCAGGTTTTTGAAGGATGTTGGCTTCTCGGGGATGTCCCGAGGGGGCCCAAAGAACACCTGGAACCGTATTGTGGCCCTCTTGGGGCGTCTTGGAGGCATGTCGGGAGCTGTCTTGAGCCATGTTGGGCTATTTTGAGCGATGTTGGAGGCCATCTTGGGCTCTCTGAGGCCCTCTTGGAACCATCTTGTGCGAACAAAATCATGTGACACATCGCGGGGCGCCCCGTCCAGGTCCAGGGGGGGGGGAGGGGTCAAAACTCCCCCCCGCCCGCAAGCCGCCCCGTTCATTCCCACCCGCCCTCCCAACACATACGTAGCACCAGAGCCTGGCCCGAGCTTCGGCATATTCAGCATTCGGCCGCCGCCTCCGCCGCCGCCCCCGCCGCCCGCCGCCGCCGCCGCCGCGCCGCCGCCGCCGCCGCCGCCGCTGCCCGCGCCGCCGCCGCCGCCCTGCCGCCCGCCCGCGCAGCCGCCGCCGCCGCAACTGCTGCCGCCACCGCCGCCGCCGCCGCCTCCACCGCCGCCGCCGCCGCCGCCGCCGCCGCCGCCCTCCCGCCGCCGCCCTCCCGCCGCCGCCACCGCCGCAGCCGCCGCAGCCGCTGCCGCTGCCGCCGCCGCCAAGTGTAGTGTGTATTTTTTGACAGGGTGGTGGGGGGGGGGCGCATATGGTTGGCTGCGTATGTTACGAATTTGGAGGCCGAGTGTGTGTTTGTATTGTTTTTACAAGGGATGGTGGGGGGTTGCCAGCATTGTTCCTGGTTGGTTGCCAGTCGCTTGGGGGAGGGGGTGTAAATTACTAGGGAGAAGTGATAAACCCTTCCCTGAAGGGGAAGAAGGCATTTTGGAAGAGGAGTTAAAGACATCGTTGGACCACCTGTCGCCCAGAGGGCTGGTGGGACTTCTCGGAGTTGCATGATCCGTGGACCTGCTGCAGGCACGGTGGCGGATCTCCCCATCTGTCATAGTGCCTCTTCTTATTTGGATAAGTCCCGGGACCCCCAGCCCCCGAGTACAATCCAGTTCTGTTAGTGGCAGCTGTTGATGTTGAAGTTTTCCCCCTCTTCCTCCTCATCGTCCTCCTCCTTCCTCCTTCTCCACCTCCCTCCTCCTCCTCCTCCTCCTCCTCCTCCTCCTCCTTTTCTTCCTCCCTGCTCCTCGTCATCCTCCCCCTCCTCGTTCCTTCCCGCCCTTGTCATCATCTTCCCCCTGCTTTCCTTGGAGGGCCGCACCCCCTCCGCGGCGCGCGCGGTTGAGGAGCGCAGACAGCGCCAGGAGCGTCTCCTCCGCGAGGCGCAGGGCTTCGACCCCGACCTGGAGGACCGCCTGTTGAGGAGGGGGAGGGCAGAGGGAGGAGGGAGGAGGAAGAACAGAAAGAGGAAGAAGGAGGAGGAAGAAGTGGAGGAAGGAGGAGAAGGGAGGAGGAGGAAGAAGAACAGGAGGAGGAGGAGGAAGGAGGAAGGAGGAAGGAGGAGAGATGAGGGAGGAGGCGCAGGAGGAGGAGACGGTCCGCCTCCCTCCTCGAATCCCACTTCCTCACCCTCCCTCTTCGACCCCGCCGCGGGAAGGGCGCCGACGCGGCGCTCCCCTCGTCGGATCGAGGATCGAGGAACGCTTTTGTTGGCTATCGGATGTCGCCCCTTGGCATCTTCCGGCAACCGCGGCTCTCCGAGAGCGTTCCAGGGTTGTTCGAGTCGACCCGAACGGACGCCAGAATCTTGGGGCAGGGCCCAAACATCACCCAGCCGAACTTCGAGGAGCGAGGTTTTCGATGTGTGTTGCTCCTTCCCCGATCCTCTACACGTCCGCATCGTCACCCTGTCTTGTCCTCATGTCTCTTCTTCCTGCCCCTCGGTCTCTCGTCCAAGAAACGCACGGCCAGATAATCGTATATGGCCACGTTTTATTTTGAGGGGTTGGACTAGGGCCAGGGCCAGGGCAGACAGCTACGACAGTGACGGCAGGTGCCCGCTCTGCGCCAGGCCCGACAGTGTCAGACACAGGGTTTGGAAATGCACGCATCTTGAAGCTGTTTAGTCTCGTGAGGATTTAGTGGGGTACCATCATGACTGGCTCACTAAAGACCAACGAGAGCGAGGATCGCTGCTTCTGGGACAATGGGACAAGCTCAAATGTGACCACCCAGGGATCAAGGTAGCGCCCCCCCCCCCCCGCGATGACCCCAACCCCAGGCTGTACAGCCCCAGTGGGACCGAAATGCCCTGGGTCTCCGTTAACTTACAAGGGCTGGACGTGTATATGGATGGTTCTTGCAGTAGGCATAGTTTTAAGTTTTTTTGAGAGCTGTCTGTGCGTTGGTTTTTATCGATTCCGCAGGCGCCGTAATTGCCTACACCAAAGGGGCGGTGTGGGACGTCTGACAGCAGACGCCGCAGGCCGCTGATAATCAGACAATGGCCATAGTGCCTCTCTTTGCTGAATACATTGGGGGCACATATTATGATTGTGCCACCGTCACTAGATTGTGCACCATTGGCGTGCAACATCAAGAATCTAGGAACATACACGCACAGATGCTGGAATGCGAAGAGGAGCCTTGTTGCATGAGAACAGATTGCACGCTCCAGATGCACCACACTCTTTGTCCATCGGTCCCACGAAGTCCTTGATAGCCCTCCAGGGCCTTCAATCAGACCAAGAGGCGCCCAAGAGGGCTCCAGGACGGTTCTCGGGGCCCTCGTAGGCCATGTTGGACATGCATTTCCCGAACAACGTGCATTTGGCCTCTGGCATACTTACGCGGGGACCCCCTGGGAGCGCGCGAGAGCGCCAGGGTGCGCCCCGAATCTCCAGGCTGTGGGCCCATTAAAGGATATGCGCAGAATTCAAGTGGACATTCTACTTCGTGCCTCGAGACACGGCGGCGGATACGGCATGCGCACACACTGAAGCAGACTCGGAGTACATGGAGGCCCCTCCCCGCCCCTTCCTCTTTCCTTCTCCCCCCTCCCCTCCCCCTCGCGGGACCACGATGACGTCGGCGAGGGCGACGACGACGACCTCGCCCCCCCTCAGAGGACGCCCTGGCGGCGGCTGAGCAGACCGCTGCCGCGGCCGCGCGCGCCCCGCGCAGGCTGGGGCGCGGAGACGCCCCTGCGCCGCAGTGACGCCGAGCGGGCGGAAGACAGCGCCAGGCCCGAGCTTCCGCTCTTGGATCGAGGATGGGTGGAGGGAGGGAGGGAGGAGGAACGGAGGAGGAAGGGAGGAGGAAGAAGGGAGGAGGAAAGGAGGGGGAGGAGGAGGGGGGGGGGAGGAGGAGGAGGAGGAGGAGGAGGAGGAGGAGGAGGAGGAAGAGAGGAGGAGGAGGAGGAGGAAAAGGAGGACAGAAGGAGAAAAGGAGGGGGAGGCGGAAGAGGAGGAGGAGGAGGAGGAGGAGGAGGAGGAGGAAGAGGAGGAGGAGGAGGGTGGTGGCAATCAATTTGGAGAATGGAGGGAGAGCGGGAGGAGAACGGGAGGAGACGAGGAGGAGGAATACTGAGGAAGGAGGAGGAGGAGGAGCCGGGGGAGAACGGCGTGGGGCACAGGCCTCCGTTTTTGGATCTGAAAGGAGCGTTCCTCAGCTTCGGTCTATTTGACAGAATTCGCCCTGTCGCACCACCAAACGTGTCCGTAGGCTGGTCTGGGCGTTTCGCTCGAGATTCGGGCGGACGGCAAGGAACATGGCCTTAATGGCCTTAATGGGACCCTACATTACCACCAAACTGCCACCGCGGACCCAGATGCACGAGAGGTGGAGCACGTTTCTGCACCCCCCATTACCTGTCGCTCCGTTCACGAAATCCCCAGGGACTTCCTCACAATTTATTATCCCGAAGCTTACAGCAACTTCCAACAGTCACACGGATGGGTGCTGGGCCGTTTTCGAAATGGTGTTGTCGCCCCGAGCATTGCCGAGGAAGGCTCCAAGCTTTCCAGGAGGGGCACCCGAAGCAAACATCATTGTTTATCCAGTGGTTGTTGAAGTATTTCAGCGTTCTCGCCTTCTCTGGCTTCTGGCAGTGCCAGACGGCCCAATAGACTTCCAAGATGGCCTCACAACGGCCCGAGGGGCCCCCAAGAGGGCCGAAGCACGACGCAAGAAACCCCACATATGGTTCCAAGAAGAGTCCCCCATCTGGGCCCCCTTTTGGATTTGTTTTTGGGGCCTCTTGTGCCGTCGTGGGCGCCTCTTGGGTTGGCGTTGGGCAGTCTTTGGGGCCCTCTTGGAGGCCTCTAGGGCCGTCTGGGACTGGCGGGGAGCCGAAAAGGCGAGAAAGCCGACCACATTGAAAACCTAAGGGAAATCAATGATGATGGGCTCTCTTGGGAAGCCTCTTGGGGCGTGTGGGAGGCCTCCCGGGCCGTCTGGAGGCCATCTTGCGCGTTTTGGTATGTTCTCTGGGCGTTTCGGGAACCTCTTGGCCCGTCTTGGGCCCCCCTTGGACCAGAAAAAGCAACGCGGGGAGACGCGGGAGCCCAGAGGGCACGCGACAAGCCCTGGTAGATTTCGGAAATTGGGGCCTGGGCCGCTGAAGCCCGCAGGACTGAAGACTGACGCAGGGCGGGGTGGGCAAAGGACCTGAGGACACGCCCACTATGTGCCCAGCGGCACGGCCTCGGACTTGTAGCGTTGTGAGCCCAACCAGCAGACCCTCGTACCCGATCCCTTACGAACGAACACAGTTATGGAGCTAGAGATCACAAACGCGGGCTTCATCAAGTTATGGATGATGGGACTCACGACGGAGACGAGCTTCGGCAAACCTCGCTACATCGACGGTCAAGACAAACACTTCGAAGGGTCCAAGTACATGGTCGCGCAGTACCTCTCCAGTCTCACAGGGGCCACAGGCAGATAGTCAATGGATGATCCGACGTAACGCCAGAAAGTCGTGTCTCGAGGTATCGGCCAACTACTGAAGGGGATGCGTAAAGGACGAGCTCTCAACATCATCGAGACGAACATGTAGTAATATAGCGGGTTTGAATCATGACAGGTTTCGTTCACTGAACATACGCCCAAGACGGGCAGACGATTGATACCACCCTTGGGGGCAGCGATGGACAGCACCAACGGCATGTAAAGCTGTCGAGACCTGGTATGATCGATGGCTGGAGCTGGTGCGTCAGACGGATGATCGAGTCTCGTTTTCGATTTAAGGATGACGGCATCCAGATAGCAACGGCGAAGAGGAATTCCCCGACGGAGCTCAACAATCACATGCTGCTGAACGCAGCTCTCATAAGCAATCGATTCAGCGTGCTGAACAGAATTGTGGTATATTCGAACCTGAATATCCCAGCCCTACCTGTGGCGACCCTGACGCATCAGGACAATACGGCGAAGCGGACCAGGAGCACCAAGAAGGGCGGAGGCAAGGGCGACAAGAGCAACCGAAATAACTACCAGGGCTAGGGCGGCAAACGCTACCAAGGCTACTGTGGCCAGACTTACCAGGGCTGGAACAACAAGAGCTACAACAGCAAGTGGCACCAGGGCTACAATAGCAAGGTCTGCAACAGCTACGGCCACAAGGCCCACAGCAGCAAGGGCTACCAGAGCAGAAAAGCACCGGCAGCAAATGCTTCAACAACAAGATCGGCAAGGGCCCCAGCGGTGAACAGAGCAGCACCCAGGGCGGCACGAGTCTTGGTTTGGCAGGTGTTTTTCAGGGCCATTGCTGCCGGCGCTGGCAGCTGGGCCACGAGAGATCCCCGTGCCCAAACATATTGGACGTCGGAGTTTATTCCCGGTCGCAGCTATCACAGGCAGCGCTTCAGATGATGCAGCCCTGACATCAAGGTGGAACTCCACGGCAGCGCCAGGATCGTCAGCCCATCTGCGACAGGAGCGTCGGCGCCATCATCAAAGGCAACGGCAATATGAACGATCTCGGGACTAACGGCGGATGGGGGACAGCGCTACGACACGTTTTTTCCTCCGATGAGGAGGACTGGCCGCGCGCGCGTTGTGCAATGTCTCGTTGTATGCTGCGTTTCTCCATTCCTTCTCGTCTAGCCCAGCACGACTCCTTTAGTCGTTCCGAAGGGTGCCGAGTTGGGCGAGGCACATGTCGCGCCCTTTCGCCATGCAGCCTGTCTGCTGCTACATTACAGACCCCAGCGAGGGAGGAAGGGATGGAGGGACCTACTGAGGAGGAGGGAGAGAGATGGGGAGGCGAGGAAGAGATAGGGAGGGGGGGAGAGGAAGAAAGAAGGAGGAGGCTCAAGCATCCCGCCATCTCCCCCACTTCCCATTCCGCTCTCCGCCCTCCTCCTCTTCATCCTCTTCCTCCTCATTGTGCTCCTCGTCCTCCTGCTTCCCCTCCTCCCATCCCCCTCCCTCCCATCGCCCTCTCTCCCTTCCCTTTTTCCCTCTACTTTGTTCCTGTTTTTCCTCCACCTCCTCCTCATCGTCTTCCCTGTTTTCCTTCTCCTCCTCCTCCTCCTCCTCCTCCTCCTCCTCCTCCTCCTCCTCCTCCTCCTCCTCCTCCTCCCCCTAACCCGATCTTTAGATGTGCGTATTTGTATCTGGCCGTGCAGGATAGGGCCGTCCGTATTCCTCCTGGCTCAAGCTCATCACGCAACCGAGCCCGAACGTCTCGGTCGCATAGCTTGGCTGGCAGCTTGGGTGGTCCATTCGGGAGAGGACAGCGCCTGGCGGGTGGAGGTCTCGCCCTGCCCGCGCTGTCCCGGCCTCCGCTGTGCGGAGGCGCCCGCGTTCCCATCCCTCCAGTGCCTGCGGCTCCAACGGTGCACTGCCTACCACCCGGGGTCCAGCGGGGCCGGAACTCCCCGCCCACGGGCGCGGGCCGCCGCTCGCGGAGGAGGCGCCGTTGGGGCCGCCCGCCGTTGCCACGGCGTCGCCCGGCGCCCAAAGCGCGGTTGGAGTGTCCTGGGCCGGGCGTTTGTGCTGGCGCTGGACTTGCTGGGCGGGGGCGTCGGGGTGTTCATGCACGCGGTGCTGGTGCTGGTGGGTTTCGGCGCGCGCGCCTGCTGGTTTTTTTTGTTGAGTTGGGTTCGTCACCCCTGTTTCGCCCTCTGACATGGCGCAGCCGTCGGCGCAGGAGTGGGCGTGCGTGCAGCACGGGGGAGCCGCTCAGAGCGGCTCTTCCACCAGCGCTTGGCGCTGGGAGTCTCGGCGGGCACTGCAGCGCCGGCGAGTGAGGTCTTGGCCGCCGCGTCACGGCGGGTCTGACCCCAACATCGCGGCCGCGCGGTGGAGTGACTCGCGGCGACCTCCCCCGCCCGGCGCGCGGAGGGGCTCGTATCGGTTCCGCCGCTGGCCGACGCCGGCGGAACTCCAGGAGTTCCAGCGGCTGGCGCGCATCGCGGCCCGCGACGAGCACGTGCTGCGGGACCGTCGCAACGGGGGGCACGGAGTGGAGCCGGCTGGAGGCGCGCTGCTGCCGCTCGCCGCCCCGCGGTTTCCAGGACAGGGCGAGGGCGGCCCTCGGCCCGTGGGAGGGGGGACCTCTTCGGAGCGGCTGCCCGCGTTGGAGCGCCCGCGGCTGGCGCCGCCGCCGCAGCCGCCGTTGCGCCCGCGGGGAAGGTCCGCCTCGACGCGCGCTGACGAGCTGGCGTGGGTCGTCACCGAGACTCGCCACGGGCTCGAGCGCGGCGAGACGGTCTTCCCTGGCGCGGGGAGGCCGAGCCTCGGCGACGCGGGGCTCTGCCAGGTGCCGGGGGCGGCCCCTTGGCCGCGCGGCCCAGCTGCGGCGTTGGCCAAGCGGATGCAGTGCCAGGAGTGGGGCGCCATCATGCGCAGCGAGAGCGTCGCCGACGCCAGGATCATGCTGATCGAGCTCGTGGGCGACCGACGCCTGAGCAGGCCCTGGAGGCAGGTGGCGGAGCAGGGCGTCGTGACTCCCTTGCTGGACTGGCCTGTCCAGGGGCACGGGGCCGCCGGGCAGGCGGCGCAGTTCCTCGACCGACGCGGAGGCGGACCAGGCGACCTTCGCGCCTGGTGGCGCCAGGCCAGCCGGCCCCAGCGCTGCGACTGGGGAGTCGAGTGTCGAGCTGCATGAACGGCCTGCGCTGCGGCCCTCGAGATGGCAGCGAGCTATGACGCCCTCGAGATTGCCAAATGCGCCCGCATGGGAACGTCGCAAGGGGGCGCCAGCTCGCC